GACCAAAAGGACTGGAGACATGGCTCTGTGCTTCCCGAGTTCAATCCCGAGGACCACACAACCACTCAGTACAGATAAAAAGGCCCCAAAGCCAACACTTTCCAATAATACAGCTCACAAACTTCACCAACTCAAAACAAGGATTTTTTTGAGCCAGGCACATGGGAGGCACAGGCCTGCAGTCCCAGCTGCCCAGGAGGCTGTTACGAGGATCGCAGGTGTGTGGAGAGCCCACACAATGCCCGAGACCCTGCCTCACAGCCGCACAGCGGGCTGGGACGACCCTAGGTCCCTAACGGTCAGTGCGGGCGGCGAGCGGGCTCACTGTACCTTCACTGGCACCCCTGAGGTGGGCTCTGGCAGAGCTGATTCCCGACGAGGATGGCACTTCAGCGTCACCTGGGTGCTCCCCAGCTGACACTCTTCCTTCTTCCTGAAGACTCTGGGAGTGAAAGTTTGCATTTAACAAGTGAAGATTCAGCCCTCCCATGTCCCTGGCAAGAGGACATTTCGAACTAGACTAGAGGTCCCACTTGTCCCAGCTATTTCCATCCTTGGTAGCTTCCTGAAAGCATTTAAAGCATCATACCACAGGATACATGCACCCCTATGTTTATAGTGACACAGTTCGCAATAGCTAAATCCTGGAAAAGAGCATAAATGCCCACCCTGGAGGAATGGATAAAGAATATGTGGGGCGTTTATACAACTGGAGGGGACGAGGTAAAAAAAGAATCAAGTTATGTCATGTACAGGTACAAATTCTGTACGATTAATATGACCATTATGCATACCTAAATATACCCATAAAATCTTTTTTCTTTTTGGTATTTTAGGTAAGGGTCTACAGGGTCTCACCCTGATCGGATTGGTCGTGATCAGCCTGTTTACAGCCTCCCAAGAACTGGGATTACAGATGCGCCATAATGCCCAGTCTCAATTGCTGTCTCAGCGCGCCCCGGGGGCGGGGCTGGCACGGGGATTGAACGCCCGGCCCCCGCGCCTGCTTGCAGGCGCTTTAATCCGCTGAGCTATTTGGCCGGCCCTTACCCATAAAATCTGACTGAAGAAGAGGACTTTTGCACAGACCGTGGTGGCTAGTGCCAATAATCCCAACAGTGGAGAGGCTGCGGCAGAAGGACTTCAGCATTCAAGACCAGTCTGGCTATGAGTTTAAGGCCAGCCCGAACTACAATGAGATCATGACTTTAAAGGAAAGAACGCGTATCCCTTGCTTTTATTTATAAAACCTGAACCCTACACAAACTGTGTGGAACCCGATTCAGGATTCTGTCAAAGCGTTTCCAACCACTGTTCTTCGGCTAGCTTCCCCCAGGTCACCTGTAAACACTAATCTAAAATACCCTAATGAGGGCTACACCCGCCGACTTCAGCAGACGCCATTCCTTCCACTCCCCGCGAGGTGGCACGGAGGCCGCGGGAAGCCGGGCGACCTCTGCCGAGGCACGAGAACCAGCGCGGGCAGGCCCGCCCGGCCCGCCGCGCTCCC